TAGCATGCACCACTCTGGCAAGACAGTCTGCGGGCAGGGACGGTCTCAACCAGATGGAGCTGGTAAACAGCCGCCCTGGACACAGAATACCATTCCTGCAACTAGATTACCCTTGGGGTCCCTTCCATCTCTACCATTCTATGATCCTATGACCTCTGCTTTACACTGACTGGAAGTGGCTCTCCAGAGTTTTGGGCAGGGGTCTTTCCTGGCCCTGCCTGAGATGCCACTGGAGATTGAACTGGTGGACCTCCTCCCCCAAGCAGGTCATGAAGGAGGAAGATCGGAAGCTGCTGCCTCACCCCTAGCCTGAATTCTCCTACCAAAGCTACATTTCTTGCAGTTCTGATGTGGAAACCGGAGCCACGAGGAACCCGGTCCCTACAGCTGGATCTTAAAATATCCATTTGACTTCTTGCACCATGGATTGGGCACGCTAAAAAAAGATCAACATTTCTCAAAAAGATAAATAAACTCGCAGAGCTCTCGGAGTCGTGTTACAAAGACGCCTGGAAGTTCGGCGGCGCATTAGGGAGCATGCTCAGGGCTGCAGGACGCCCCTTCCCAACCAAAACAGCCGCCGCTTTGAGCCTGAGACATCTCTTCCTCCGTCGCAGGAGCGACTCCTGTTGCTCAAGCCTTGTCGGACGTCAAGGATCCCAAAGGGAGCCATCGGGACCTGCCGGGACAGAAAGGCTCTCTCTCTCGACCTTGCTGACGTCTGAGATGCTGTTTCATCGGCGGCCTCTTCTCCCGCTCCATCTCACGACCGCAAGGAGCACAGGGTTATCCCAACATGTTATAATACACTCTGGGGTGTCTTATTACTTGAAATATGCTGCACAAATATAACTCGGGTAGCTTATCTTGGCCAGGCTGAGTTCTATAAAAAGTCTCCCAGCGCCGGACTTGGGGGCTCCCTCCTTGTTCCAGGAGAATCTGTTGCCTCCCTCTCCTTCCAGAGTTATTCCGACTAGAGTTTTTCCTCTCTCTCTCCCTCTCTGTTCTCCGTGTTTTCTCTGGGACTACCAGAAGTCAAGCTGCCGGTTTTGTGGGCCACCTGGGGGCCAGAACGAGAAGCCCTTTTGGTTGCTGCTGCCATAGCTCATAGGCACACGGGTGGCGCTGTGGGTTAAACCACAGAGCCCAGGGCTTGCCGATCAGAAGGTCAGCGGTTCGAATCCCAGCAACGGGGTGAGCTCCCGTTGCTCGGTCCCTACTCCTGCCAACCTAGCAGTTCGAAAGCACGTCAAAGTGCAAGTAGGTAAATAGGTACCGCTCTGGCGGGAAGGTAAACAGTGTTTCTGTGTGCTGCTCTGGTTCGCCAGAAGTGGCTTAGTCATGCTGGCCACATGACCTGGAAGCTGTATGCCGGCTTCCTCGGCCAGTAAAGCAAGATGAGTGTCGCAACCCCAGAGTCATCCATGACTGGACCTAATGGTCAGGGGTCCCTTTACCTTTGACTGTAGCTCATTGGCCCTGAATTGCCGAAAGACAGAGAAAGGAAGGGAGGCCAAGGCTCAAACTGGCCAGGAAGCCTCAACCTCTGAGCTGGAAGCCCTTCCTCTCCCAAATGCGTTTTGGGCATGGCGGGGAGCAGTGGTGAAAGAAAATGTCAGGCAAATGGCAACTGGGGAGGAGTCAGTTGAAGAGTCAGGCAGAAATACAGGCAGACTGGAGGGCTGGAGTTTTGTGATGCAGAATCTGCTGGTTTCTCTTGATAGCAAGATGTTCAGGCGAAGAAAGTGCAGCAGTTTGTTGGTGGCACAGGATTGGCCCTGCCAGGTTACCTTTTTGCCCAGATCAAGAGGGGTTTGGCTTGCAACACTTGTGCCCCATGCGGAACTGACTGTTGGAAGACTCAGCACAGAAAAAAATTTAGTCCTTATTCACACAGCACAAACTATGGAACTCGCTCCCCCAGGAGGCAGAGATGGCAGAGAGGACTATTGATGGCTGCTAGCCAGGATGTCTATACTCTGCCCTCCACAGTTGGTGATAATAATAATAATAATAATAATAATAATAATAATAATAATAAATTTTATTTATACCCTGCCCTCCCTGGCCAGAGCTGGGCTCAGGGTGGCTAACACCAGTAAAATTACAGTAAAAACATAATAGTGGGGGAAAACCACCAATTTAAAATGCAGCCTCATTTTAATAGTAGCCCATAGATCAAAACCATAAGCGGAGGGAAAACATAAGGGTCAGACTGAGTGCAAACCAAAGGCCCTGTGGAAAGATGTCAAGTCCCGCAGGGCCCTGGTCTCTTGTGACAGAGAGTTCCACTAAGTCGGGGCCAGTACTGAAAAGGCCCTGGCCCTAATGCTCCTGAATAACACCTACTGGAAACCACAGGAGGGGAGAAAGTTCTCTTGCGCTTGAATCCTGCTTGTGGGTTCCTCATTTGGATGGCCATTGTGAGAACAGGATGTTGGACTAGGTGGGCCATTGGCCTGATCCAGAGGGCTCTTCTCATGTTCTTACCTGGAACATGCCAGGAAGCAGGTGAAGGACTTGGAAGAGACCGAGTCCTGCTATGAGGACACGTCAAAGGAGTTAGGGAGCCTTTAGGCCAGAGAAGAGGCAAGGTTCAGGACAGGTCCATTGCTCACCTCCAATGGACATAGGATGTGCTTTGTTTCCTTTTGCTCCTGAAGGGAGGGTCCTGTTCACAAGAAATGGGATTTGGACTAAATATTAGGAAGCGCTGCCTGATGGGGCAAATTGTTGAATGATGACCCATCTTGGATGGCAGTGGACTTGATTGAGGGCGGAGGGTCAAGCAGAGTTTGGAGGCTGGAAAACGGGATTTCCGAATTGGCGTTTGTGTGCATGTGGGGTGAATTTAGATCGCCTTTGAGGCCCTTCCAGCGCTACAATCCTTCCATTCTAATTTATGATTCCTCACCTGCAGTTTTGTCCTCCAACCAGCAAGCTCCGATGGTGCTGGAATCAGGGGCCCGGTGCTGATCTGCGAGCGACAGAGAGATGAAAGGGATTCAACATCTCCTGGCAAGTTCAAAACTGATGCACTGATCACTCGTCTAGTCCTGGGATTAGGGATGTTGTAAACAGCAGCCAGGGGTGTTGACATGCTCCCCGGTGACACCTGGTGACTTGTGAATGACCCGAGAAAGCCAACAAGGGTGTGTGGGGCTGAAACACCCTGGAAACCTGTGTTCTGAGTAGACGCTGACTGTCATCTCAGGGAACCTATCCTGACAAGCTTGAGATAACAGCCTCCGAAAGCTGGTTCTGGAAAACAGATCTGGACTCTCCACCGAAAACGTTAATGGTGCCCTCCTTTTGTTCCTCACTCTTTGTTCCTCACTTCCTTTCCTTGCCCAGGCTCTGGAAGGAAGGTGGTGTGCACCTGGGCCCCGTTCTGGTTTCGGGTTTTTATTATTTCGTTTTTATTTTGTTTTTCAAAAAGATCTGTTTGACCTCCCCATCCACTTCAAAGGTGGACGGCCTTCTCCGCAGGCGAGCTTTACAAGGATCTTAACAACCCCTGCGATTATTCCTGAAAGGAAAGAAGCTGTTTTCTTGCTCCTAATCAACATGGATCTGGCGAGAGACGCAGGCCAGCATCTGGAGTTTTCCACATGTCAGCTAATAGCCGTATCCTATTTTACAATTGGGGGGTATTCCCAGCGCAGGCTCCCGAGACTGGGCCCTTCGCTTTGTTATGCTTCCAACCCTCAGGTCTGGGCATTCTCTGCTGATTTTTAAAGGCCCCTGGGGGAGTTCAGCACATCAACTTCTGTTCCTGCGCCGCGCAGGAGGGCGCATGCTCCCCAAAGCCTCGGCTGTGGAGCGGGTGAGGTCATTTTCGATCCCAGAATAAACTTCCATTTATCTCGCAACCACAAACCAGCAGGGACGAAAGATGCTCGGGAGAAACCGGAATGTTTTCTCCACATGCATCTCGCTGCTCTTTCCAGAGTAGCTCTCTCTCCCTCCAAACCACTGGAGGGGAGCTGCCTGCCCCCAGTCTGGCAACCAGCAGGCGCAGACTATCCACCAGAGAGAAGCCTTCTTGGTGAAAACCACAGCCCCCATAATTGAAAACATTTCCCCTCGCTCCCCTTTTGCAAGCCCCTCTCTGGCGGCTTGCGAGTGCTGCTTTCTCCATTGCTCCCGGCTTCTTCAAAATTTGCTCGGGGCCTTAGGGCAGAGAGAAGAAACGCCATGTTGCAGCTGCAGCAGCGCAACCGGACGCCTTAGTTTGCCCCGGCTGCAACAAAACATGTCTCTCTCGCATCGGTCTCTGCAGCCGCAGCAGGGGCTGCAACCTGCCAACGGTTTGACCTCACAAGGTCAGGTTGAAGGTGCTGGTTTTGACCTTTAAAGCCCTATGTGGCCTAGGACCCTCATACCTACAGGACCGCCTCTCCTGGTATGCCCCACAAAGGACCTTACGGTCCATAAATAACAACACTTTGGAGGACCCGAGCCTCAAGGAGGTTAGTTTGGTCTCAACTAGGACCAGGGCCTTTTCAGCACTGGCCTCGACTTGGTGGAACTCTCTGCCACAAGAGACCAGGGCCCTGCGGGATTTGACATCTTTCCACAGGGCCTGCAAGACGGAGGTGTTCCGCCTGGCCTTCAGCTCACACTCACTCTGGCCCCTTATATGGGATTTAGTATATAAATTTTCTCTTGGTTTTTTTTTTGCTGGCCCATGTAGGACCAGCATGGATAGCTGGCTTGGGTGAATATCTGATGTTTCCACCTTTTATGGTCTTGATTTATGGGCTATTACTAAAATGAGGCTGCATTTTAAGCTGTATTTTAATTAACTGGGTTTGGGGTCCCCCCCCCTTTCCCTATTACGTTTTATTGTAATTTATATTTGGTGTTAGCCGCCCTGTGCCCGGCCCTGGCGGGGAGGGTGGGGTAAATATTATTTTTATCATCCTCCTCCTCCTCCTCATCATCATCATCACCATCATTATCATTATTATTATTATTTTGAACAAGCATGCAATTAATTGTTACTGTTTTGAGCTTTATCATGTTACTGTCTTCCTTGGTGGGTCGTACAAACCTCTATTCTGAGTAATGCTTTTTTATGGGGCAGGTGGCCCTGGGGGTGCGTTTATGGAACCAAGGAGGGGCCTGAAAAAGTTTGGGAACCGCTTCTCCCATCACCACTATTGTAGCTTTCCAGAGAGTTGCAGCTTTCCCGTTCTTGCTCTGCAAAGAATGGAAGAGTGAGTCTTCTTCCCAGAGTTCACAAGTGTCTCCATAAGGAGAAGAATGGTGCCAGCCGCTTGTACTTCTCAGAGCATGCAGTTTTCCTGGGGAACCAGAGAAGAGGTTGCTTATACGATACAATAATCTTTATTGTCATTGTCCCATACAGAACAATGAAATTGAAAAAATCTACATCAGACATTCAAAAAACCAGCATGCCTGCTATCCCAGCCTGGTTAGTCCCCTAAAAACTCTGATACCCCATAATTAAATACAATATACTCCCACAGAGACTACCTTAAAAGGTAAAGGGACCCCTGACCATTAGGTCCAGTCATGGCTGACTCTGGGGTTGTGGCACTCATCTTGCTTCGTTGGCTGAGGGAGCCGATGTACAGCTTTCGGGTCATGTGGCCAGCATGACTAAGCCGCTTCTGGTGAACCAGAGCAGTGCACAGAAATGCCGTTATTTCCCGCCAGAGCGGTACCTATTTATCTACTTGCACTTTGACATGCTTTCGAACTGCTAGGTTGGCAGGAGAGACTACCTTACACTGCATTTAAAACCAAAATTGCATTTGGATAGAAACTGTTTCTCAGGCGGCTAGTCCTAGTCTTTATAACCCTGGACCTTCTTCCAGAAGGCAGAAGCTGAAAGAGATCATTTCTGCAGCTTTCTTATGGCACCTGGAAGCATCAGGGCTGACCGGGGGGTGGGGATGGAGGGATGGAATTGGATGGGGCAGAGCAAAACAGGAGACTAACACTCCAGCTAAAGAGGACCCTGCCTTAACATTGGGAAATAAAGGAATATCTTCTTTCCAATCCCATGACATCCCCACGCAAGACTTGATGAGAAAACAAACAACGGCTTCAGCTGGCCAAAGTTTCCAAAAGAAGCCCCTAAATTGTTATGCAGATTCTGGACACAGAAAAGGAAGTCTGTCTCCACGCGGCGCATAGTTAACCTATGGAACTCCCTGCCACAGGAGCCAGGGATGGCCATCAGCTTGGGTGGCTTGAAAAGAGGTTTGGACAAATTCACGGAGGAGGAGAGGGCTTTCGATGACTGCTAGCTCTGGAAGAAGTAGAAATGATTCCTGTTACGGAAATTATGGGGGGTGGGGCACATCTTTAAGGTTGTTAACAGTTACAAATATTGTGCCTGAATGTATCCTTTTGGCTTGACAGCTCAGGGAATATACCTAGCTTTATGAATCATATGAAATCAACACTTTTGCCAAGTTCCTCCATTCCAACACCATTTTGCCCTTGGAAAAAGGACTCTTTCCCCTGCCACCTCCCCAAGCTCGAAGACATGTGTACACACCTCCTACCCCAGGAAATGCCCAGAGCTGACGATTGCTGAGCTCATTGTTCTCCAAGGGAAGCCTAATCCCATCACCAGACTTGCCAAGGGGTCCAGACATGCAAAGGAACTTCTATTGTACTTTTGGGTGGTGGGTACTTAAGACATATTTGTCTATGCTCATCTTATACCTGAGTCTTGCCCCGCCATGTCTGCTTATGCTAATCTTATACCAAGGACTTGTCTGGACCTGTTTCCCAAGGTTGAACTAGTGTTACCCCTGTCTACCCCTCCCCTTTTGTGACATATCAGTGATGTAGCAATGATGCTGTACGAACTGTATTCTGGGATATGGTGGGAAATTTTTTTAAGTCCTTGCCACCCCATCCTCGGGGTTCAAAATTCCTCTTTGAACCTGTTGCGCAATAAACTTTGGCCTACAGCGATTTGCTCCGGTTGGTGGCTGGACTCCTTCCTTTATTCCGCAGGGACCCGCGGGCTCTGCCCGATGAACTGGGTGACTGAGCAGCCTCGCACCTAGATTTTTCCGTAACAATTCCGAATCCTCGTTGCTGGAAACTGCTGGAGGGGAGAATTGCTGTTACATAATAATAATAATAATTTATTATTTATACCCCGCCCATCTGGCTGGGTTTCCCCAGCCACTCTGGGCAGCTTCCAACAGAACACTAAAATACAATAACCTATTAAACATTAAAAGCTTCCCTAAACAGGGCTGCCTTTAGATGTCTTCTAAAAGGTTGGTAGTTATTTTTCTCTTTGACATCTGATGGGAGGGTGTTCCACAGGGCGGGTGCCACCACCGAGAAGGCCCTCTGCCTGGTTCCCTGTAACTTGGTTTCTCGTAGTGAGGGAACCGCCAGAAGACCCTCGGAGCTGGACCTCAGTGTCCGGGCAGAACGATGGAGGTGTTGTGGTCAAATCCTGCTTGCTGGTTTCTCACAGGCATCTGAATGTCTCCTGTGAGAACAGGACTAGATGGGCCATTGGTCTCCTTATGTTCTTGCTTTTAACTATGGCATATTAGGGCTCTATTTGACCCCAATATCAGATCAGCAAAGTGTTTTTACAAGTGTGGGACAACTTTAAAAATAGCCAGCGTTGTCCATGCGCACTCCAGAAACCTCTGTTCCACATGCTGTCCTTGTCTCCATGTGAGGTGTGGCGGCCCTTTGATAACTGTTCTCTCTACTCTCCACCATCCAGCCAAGACATAGATGATGAATTGCAATTTTCTGAAGATGCTTTGAAACTTGTTCCCTTCTCTGTTTACCCTTTTGGATGCTTGGGGGGGGGGGAAGCATTCAGAACAAATTTGAGCTGTCGCACACTCTGAAGAACAAATGAACTGTTCTCTCTCTCCCCCCCTTTCTTTGGTGCTAAAGATGAAAGTTTTAAAACGCAATAATGTTTTGTCTAAATTCTTGTGGAAATAGCTTATGACCTTTCGTAAAGCGATGTGGTTTCGGCTTTCCAGTAAGAGAGCTCCCAGCTAATGATTTAGCTCTATTTTCTAATAAATATTTGGCAAGAGACGAGCTCCCTTATAGCCTCTGGTCATTAGGGACCTATTATTTATGAGTCAGGAGTGAATCATTACGCTTGGCAAACACCGCTGGCTTTGTGGACAATGTATTTTTCCACTCGGTAGCAGCAAACGCTTGTAAATTCTTCCTCAATATTACCATTAAACTATCTCAAAACAAACTCCTTCCCACTTTGCCATAAATTCTCCCCATTTTCTGGAGCGCCGGTGGTCTCGCTGCCAACGTCAGGGAGCTGGGATAGAGGTATCACCGCTCAACTGCTTGGTTCTCTCTGGGCTCGCCTTTGGCCAATTATCCCCCCATTTAAGACGGCAAATGGGTTTTGCTTTGCTCCCCTCCCTCGCACGGAGGGAAATATTTCTTCCCCTGACATCCTTGGAAGCTGCAGACTTGGGAGGCAAATGGAATAGACCTGTGAGGTCACACAGTGTGCAGGAAGTGAAGCGGGTATCTCCTCGTTGAGGGCATCGGAAGGTCGCGCATCCTGTGGCAGCGGCAAGAGGACAGGCTGGGGGAAAGCAGGCATGAATCACTCAAGTAGTAAGCAGGCTTCCAAAAAAGAAAAAAAGAGAGAGAAAGAAATCCTCCAATGTGTGGACAGAGGAAAGGAATCTATTTCGATCTGGAAATGCTTGACCGCCTGACCTTCCTTTTGGAGTCCTGGTATTTTGTGTTCTTGGAACATTGCTTATGGAATAGAAGTGATATCATCTCTGTGATGCATTTGTTTATTTAGGTTTCTATTTGTTTACTTGGTTGTGGTGGGGACACGCGCACACACACTTGGCCCAAGGCAGGGTGCAATAAATAGCAACACAATCGCATCATCACAAAATCGGACGGATGAGAGTGCAAAGTAGCTCACAGCCCCAGAGCCTGCTTAAAGAGGCTGACTATTATTATTATTATTATTATTATTATTATTATTATTATTATTATTATTATTTCCACGTGCCTTGCCCTAAAAATAGTAGCCTGTTGGATTTTGGCAAGTTTTATTCAAAGGGCTGAAAGTCACTCATTCATGCCAATAGAGACTTCTGACAAGAGCTTCACAAGATCATTTTTGACAGCAAAGCCTACTCCATGTATTCAATGTTCTTGTTCAGGTAGATCTTTTACAGAAGAAATTGTAGCCTTTTTCTTCCTTCAGTTGTCCCTCACCTGCTCTTCCAGTTTCTTGAAGTGCTGCAATATCGATGTGAAAACATCGCAGCTCTCTTGCAATGATGGCGGTTTTGCGTTCGGGAGTTGAAGTCCAGCAACCTCTGGAGTGCCAGAAATTAGCTACCCAGGTTTAGGGCCAGGGCTGTAATGTAGGAATTTTTGGAACAGCTAGGCACCGGCGTACAAACCCCTGACATAAAACTAAAATGTGAGAGAGGGCACTTGCTCTTCATGCAAAAGGCCTCCAGTTAATGTGTAATTATCCAGTTTGTTTGTGGGTCGGATTAGGATCTGTGTATGCCCCCTCCTGCAGTTACTTGCATAGTAGAGGGATTGTGATGGCATCTTGAGAAGGGAGCAGGAGGCAAGGAAACCAAGCTCAAAAGCAGCCCAGCAAACAGCCTCAGGATTCTTCTTCCAAAGAGGAGGGAGGCTGAAATATACTCGGAGTTGAGTGTGAATTTCATGCTCTTTATTCAGCTCATGGTAGCAATGAATGAATCTTTCCCCAAAACATCTAGCTATATATACATTATTTACACAATGGGCCCCGCATGATTGGCTAATTCCGGGCTGCTCCTGCAGGCCAATCAGGTTGCTGATTCACTTCATCCAGGAGCCTGATTGGCTGCTCCTGCAGGCCAGTCAGATCGCTGATTCACTTCCACCTGGAGCTGGATTGGGTGGCTCCTGCAGACCAATCAGAATGCTGCATTCTGGATCCTATTGTTCTAGGATTCAGCTCAGTTCATAACAGAGGCCCAGACATGAGGTCCGCTGGAGGCACGGAGTGAGTAGCAAGTAACAAACCCAGGGTGGGTTGCAACATAAAAACCCAATATTAAAAACAGTTCAAAGCAAGTGACAATCAAGATAATGGAATCGTAGAAATAAGGTGGGTCTTGAAAATATCCTGCAAGCAGTCAAATGCTCAGTCAAATGCTTTATCAATCCAGTTGTTATTCTGTACACAGCCAACACAGCTTGGGTGGCAAATGACTCCGATGAGAAACATTTCATTCGTTCCTTTCTTGCCTTCAGTCACTTTTTCCTGCTTTCTTTCAAGTTGTGGCTTTTTAAAAGAACATTTTATTATGACATTCTAACACAATACTCCAGCTGAAGTCTTCGCTGAGTCCAACTCAGTCTCCAAAGCTGAAATCAGCAGAACAGTAAATGAGAACATAATGGAAATGGACACCGTTTCCTCATGCAAAATGCAGACTTGCCTTTAAAGTAGCTTTTGCCAGCTTGGTGTCCTCCAGATCTTTTGGAATACAGCTCCTATCAGCCCCAGCCAGCACTACTGGGAACAGTTGCCCAAAATATCTGGAGAGCACCAGTTTGGTGTATGGGTTTAATCTGTTTGGGGGTTTTGGGGGGGCAGGGACCCTGAAGGAAACCTGTGCATATAACTTGAAACGACCCCGGAGTGAACCTAAGCTGAGGTCTAAAATGCTGGAATAACTTTTCCCCACCTCCTGATGTTTTGATTGTGCTTCTAACATTTCCAGTTCAGGCTGGGTTCTGAGGAAAACATCCCGGGAGACCCCCAATAGCGTGGGCGAAGAAGGAGAAGCACCAAGAACAAGACCCCCACGGCGGTTCTGCCTCAGAAGTTTCAAAACACCCCCCGGTCCTCATTTGGACAAGAGCCGATCCTTCCCCCCACGAGGGCAGGACTTTTGACATATTGCTGGACCGCTTCCTTCTCCCCTTCCAAGAGGTGCTCAAGAATAACAAGGCCTTGAAATATGCCCTCATCGATCATCAGCCGTTGAAGATGGTAAGGATCCAAAGAGAAGGGGAAAAGAGGAAAGGAAATGGACAGCTTCGGAAGATGAATCATAGAATCATAGAATCATAGAATCATAGAGTTGGAAGAGACCACAAGGGCCATCGAGTCCAACCCCCTGCCAAGCAGGAAACACCATCAGAGCACTCCTGACATATGGTTGTCAAGCCTCTGCTTAAAGACCTCCAAAGAAGGAGACTCCACCACACTCCTTGGCAGCAAATTCCACTGTCGAACAGCTCTTACTGTCAGGAAGTTCTTCCTAATGTTTAGGTGGAATCTTCTTTCTTGTAGTTTGGATCCATTGCTCCGTGTCCGCTTCTCTGGAGCAGCAGAAAACAACCTTTCTCCCTCCTCAATGTGACATCCTTTTATATATTTGAACATGGCTATCATATCACCCCTTAACCTCCTCTTCTCCAGGCTAAACATGCCCAGCTCCCTTAGCCGTTCCTCATAAGGCATCGTTTCCAGGCCTTTGGACCATTTTGGTTGCCCTCCTCTGGACACGTTCCAGTTTGTCAGTGTCCTTCTTGAACTGTGGTGCCCAGAACTGGACACAGTACTCCAGGTGAGGTCTGACCAGAGCAGAATACAGTGGCACTATTACTTCCCTTGATCTAGATGCTATACTCCTATTGATGAGGCCCAGAATTGCATTGGCTTTTTTAGCTGCTGCCGCCATCCTTCTTCTGGTTCCATTTGCTGCTGCTCCCTGTTGACGCACGCCAGAAAAATAAATAAAATGACTGGGGACTTTT